AAAACCGAGCTTCCCGTCTTCCCCCCAGCCCGCGCCCCCCCCCCCATCCTTTCAATCATCACTACCAACAACACCACCATCAATCCCGCCCAGCAAGCCAAGGTCCTTGGCATCATTCTGGACTCAAACCTTTCCTTTCAACCTCATATCAAATCACTTACAAACACATGCAGGCTCCACCTCCGGAACATCGCCAAGATACGCTCCTTCCTTACCCCAGACACCACTAAACTACTCGTACACTCCCTGATTATCTCACGCCTTGACTACTGCAACTCCCTCCTCACCGGCCTACCCCAGTGCAAACTCTCCCCGCTTCAGACCATCCTGAACTCAGCTGCCAGACTCATCCACCTCACCAGCCGCTCCACCTCTGCCACCCCCCCTCTGTCCCTCCACTGGCTCCCCATTGCCCAACGCATTAAATTCAAATTGCTCACCCTGACCTATAAGGCCATTCACAACACTGCCCCTAACTACCTCACCGACCTGATTCCCAGGTACCACCCTACCCGTACCCTTCGCTCTTCACAGGACCTCCTATCTTGCTCCCTGGTCTCCTCCTCCCACGCACTACTGCAAGACTTCTCCAGGTCCTCCCCCATCCTCTGGAACTCACTACCCCAATCCATCAGACTGTCACCTTCCCTCCTCACCTTCAGGCGCTCCCTGAAAACCCACCTCTTCAGGGAAGCCTACCCCACCCTCACCTAACAGCCGCTGCCCTTCCCTCCTCCTACCACTCCATCCCCCACAGCCGTTTCCTCCTCCTGTGCCTCTACCCCCTCCCTCCTAGATTGTAAGCTCGAAAGAGTAGGGCCCTCTTACCCCTTGTGTGCTGTTTGATGTTACTGTTCTGTTTCATGTATTGTCCTCCCCCTCTATTGTACAGCGCTGAGCAAACCCTTTGGCGCTATATAAACTCGATAAATAAATAAATAAATTTATACTTCTCACTTAGCACTTTATTATAGACTCTCCTTCTCTCCTCCTCCATCAATGTCTCTAGCTCCTCTTCCTTTTTTATCTTCTGCTTAATTTCTTTTACTGTGCTCTTTTTATGTAACTTTTCCAGGTCCAATATATCCTTTAAGAGCCCACTAATTTTCTCTCTCCTTTCTCTTTTCTTTCTTGCCCCAATAGCAATCAGGATACCTCTTATATATGCCTTATGAGATTCCCATACTGTAGCTGTCGACACATCCTCTGTCTCGTTCTCTCTAAAAAAATCTCTCGATTTCTTTCCCAATCTTCTGGGCAGTATCCTTATCCAGGAAAAGTGCTTCATTCAACCTCCATCCTATCCCATCTGTTTTCCACCTTCCCCATCCCATCCTCAATACAACAGGGGCGTGATCTGAAAAAGTCATTGCTCCTATATCTACTTTAATCAATGACTCAATAAATCGATGTTCTATCAATATGTAATCCAGCCTTGAACACGTCTCATGTGCATTTGAGAAGATTGTATAGTCTTTATCCTTCATATGCATAACTCTCCAAGTATCCACCAATTGAAACTCATGGATCACCTTCTTTCATAATCTCAAAGATCTACTCCCCTCTCGCTGCACAGAAAAGGTTGTATATTTTTGCGGGTCCATACAGAGATTATGCCAATATCAAACGACCCTTTTTAAAATCCATCAGCTTTTTTAGCGCACCTTTCAAATACATCTCCGGCTTCTTATTTGGACAATATATATTAGCTACTGTACACTCCACCTCCTGCATTTTACCCTTCAAAAACAGATATCTCCCCTCTGGGTCCACTTTTCTATCCTCCAGCTCAAATCTTATATTTTTTTTTAACCCTACTGCCACCCCTTTTGCTCTCCTGATCGGGGAATCTGCATAATACCATGTTGGATAATCTCTAGATTTTAACTTAACCTTTGATTCTGTCTCGAAATGTGTCTCTTGCAAGAAAACCACTGAAGCTACTCTATGATGAAGTTCTTTAAATAGCCTAAATCTCTTCCCAGGACAATTCAACCCCTTTACATTATAGGTGACAACTTGTAGTTCATCCATCTTTCTTATGTCCCTCTTTTGCCTGCCAACCCTCTATCTCTATTTCCCTTGCTTTAGTACTCCCTTCAATCCTGCAGAGTGTTAACCCTAATATTAATAGCCCTCCCCCAACCCCCCCCCTCCCCATTTTTAGGCAATTGTTATAGCTATTATTCATTTGTGGGTCTAACTCCCCACTTTTGAATACTAGAAGGTCAAGCTCCTCCCATCGACGGCTCCTCCTCCTTCCCACCTCTCCCCAGTACCCTCCCTCTTCCTCTTATTTCCTCCCCACCGTTCCAGGTGCCCCTTGAAACAGAACAAATTTTCGTACTATAAGGAAGGTTAAAGGGCATAAGAAGAAGAAAAAAGAGAGAGAGGCATGAGAGAAGAGGAGAAAACCCCCCCCCACAAAACTCATCCCTCTCTCCCCCTCCTCCCTCCCCTCCTAATTCCTCCTTCTGTCAGACTGCCAGTCCTCTTGTCTCATTATTCCTATCTCTCTCTCCTCTTCCTCCCATCCCACAATCTCCATTCTTTGCAACTCAAGTTTTTCACAAAAATCTCTTAGGTCTTCCGGAAATCTCAAATAAGCTGTAACTCCATCTTTCCATCCAATTAGGCACACTGGGGTCCCCCATCTATAGAACACATTCTTTTTCCTCATGTGTTCTATAAGGGGTTTCAGGGATCTCTTTCTCCACAGAGTCTCCCGATGCAAGATCTGCATATATCTGGATATCCATTTCTCCATATTTAATTGATGCTTTTCCTTTAATTTTTCTCCAGATTGCTTTTTTATCTCCATATTTGTTAAATTTAACAATTATATCCCTTGGTTTTTCCTTCCCTGTGTCTTGTTGGCGCTTTCCTATTCTCACGATATCTTCCAAGTCAATCACCTCTAGGGCAGATCTGTCCATTATGGAGTTTAAGATTTTACCTACTAATTCTTGCAGTATTTCTCCTTTAGCATTCTTTGGGACTCCTTTTATCCTAAAATTACTCCTGCTGTCCTAATTTTCTTGTACCTCCATCTTATATGTCAGTTTTTTCTGCTTTTTCCCCCATATTCTTTATTTTCTTTTCTAATTCCGCGATGTTTTGGGCCTGATTTTTAAATTTTTCCTCCATTTCTTCCACTCTCATCAACACCTGCCCCAGGTCATTTCGAATAGCTGCCATTTCTTGCTTTATTGTCTTCTCTAAATCTTTAAACATCTCTGCCATTTCTTTTCTATTTGGTACTTGTAGTTCTCTCTTTCACTTTCTCCCATCTCCATGGCTCCTATTGTTTGTTGACTACTAACATTTAGTCCCAGCGATAGTCTAGGGCTACTTTCCAGACTGATATCCAATTCTCCTTTTCCGTTTTTACCTTTAGATCTTTCTGGGTCACTTTCCCCTGAGATGTATATTGTTTAATTGTTCCCGTTTGGGGCCCTTTAGGCCCACTTCCTTTACTACTTTTGTTCTTCATTGCTTTTATGGGCCTTATTCTACTCTATATTCACTTTGTATAAATAAATAGTTCATAGAGATTATACTGGCCCCACTTTTAGCCCAATTAGTGACTGATTTACCTCCTCATTTAAGTTGCTTAAACTTCTTTTCCTCTTTTTCCTCCTTTTCTTCTATTTTTAGGGCCCCTGGGAATCCCCCTTCACTCCCCCTTGCCCCCCAGTCTCCTTAGCAGCACCATGGGACATTTAAGTTTATAAAAGTTCCAGTTATTTTCACTCACCCTTATTCCTCTTCCCTTGCTGCCAGACAGGTGGGAGTTTCAGGTGTCCAGCTCCTCTATAAAGTTTTTCCTTGTGGGGGATTCCTCAGGGCTGCTTGTCCTGCTGCTTCTGCCTTCATAGGGGTCTTCCCCAAAGAGCCAGCGTCCCCATCTTCTTCTCGTTGCTCAGCTTAGCCAGTGCACAGTCAGGGGAGTAGGCAGCCGGGAGCAGAAAGCCGCTCTCCTCCCTTCACATGCACGCTGGCCGGCTTCCTGCGCTCCCAGTACTCCTTTGCGGCTGGGCATGTGACCGCACCTCTCTCCCGTATCCCGGCAACCTGGCTCTCCCACTCGCCGGACTCTAGGCGGGCCGCTCTCACCCCTTCACAGCTCGGGGTCTCCTCGCCAGCTCCCCCGGCTCTCCACAGCTCTCTCTTTGTTAGGGGGTCCCCTGGGGAGGTTAGTGGAGGAGCGAAGCTGCGAGCTCCTACAGCGAGCCCTCCAGCACCGCCATGTTCAGGCTCCTCCCCCTTTTGATGTGGTTTTAATGTGGTTTTAGGTCTGAGAGTATTTCTCATACTGAGGTGATGGTGAACCTGGGTAATTACCCTATTGTCTACTATTAATGTTTAATAAAGCATAATTTTTGGAAATTATTCTGAGTATCAAATTCTGTCCAAAATGTAGCCGCTTTCCTGTGAATCTCTTTTCACAACTTCTTTTTTTGTATGAGTTACAGAGGATGTCTAGTGCTAGAATTATTTCTTTCACTCTGATGTTCATGGTTTGAACACAGTTTACATATATGGATGTGACATATGTATGCGTTCACAACTGTGCGTGAGCAAAAAAGTGTAAGGCCTCGTTTACACCAATGCGTTTAGTGCTTTTTTGCAGAAACGCACTATAATTCATTTAACATAGTTTCCTATGGGACACATTCACATCTGTGCATTTTTCAGCCGCTGTTTTTGGAAAGGGTCAGGGACTTTTATAAGCACAAAATGGTGCGTTTTTGTTTCAACAGATTTCAATGGAGACACTGCAGAAAATGCATGTAGTGCGTTTTTAATGCAATTTTTAATCTGCCACACACACACACACAAAAAAAAAAAAAAGCATAAAAAAAACAAAACGCACCAAAAAAGTGAAAAAGAGTCAAAACGTGTGCGCAAAAAACGCAAAACGCACCGGAAAAAGCACTGCAAAAAACACAAACTGAATAGGTGTGAATCAGGCCTAACAAAAATGTTCTGCCACTCACCAGTTTCCACCGTTGTTCTGGAATACCACTGATATCAACTGGTTGACGCTCAATCACATTTACAAAACTAGCTTCTGGGACTGCCACAGCACAGACAATGTGAACCCACCTAAATTGAATACAGTGCAAAGACAGCATGTTGAAATCATAAAACCAAATAAAAAGGTGGAGACTGATGGTAGTCTACCTGTTATGCTTACCCCTGGGCCCCCTGTTATGCTTACCTTAAGCCACTGACCTAGGACCTGTATGCAGATATAAACTTTAGTGTGGCTTTCATGATCTAGATAATTGGGACATGTCAGTGAAATCAGAAAACACAAACTGATGGGTCGGAATAACTGTCTGGGAACTAGTACTTTCAGTAAAGTAATCCCATTTTCTATTATGGCTTTTCTCAATGGCTATCAAATCCCCATAATAAAACTAATATATTGCAACTTGCCAAACCTTGGGGGCTGCATTAGTTTCATTCATCTTTTAGGATAAGAACATTTTCAATAAGAAAAAAACTGGTTGCTGTAATCCATTAGATGCCTCAAATGAAGGTTCTAACAAGAGAAAGTGAAGCCAGAGGCTTCTGGAATAAAGTACTTAAGGCCAAATTCTGGACAAGTCCTGATTGCATGAAGGCCAGAATTAGATGTAGGGAGTAATTTCTCAAGTTGAATCAGTATGGTAGTATATTTATTTTTATAGTAGCTTTTCCAGTAAGGCGGTAATCAGAGATACTTTTGTCCCTCAAGACCTAGGATTCAACAGTCAGGTTTGACCTGTTTACAGCAGGCCAGAAATTCTAGACTGGTGTAAAGAAAATCGCTTTTTTTTTCCTCTTCCTTTTTTTGCAGAAATTGAGGAAGAATCTGCAGTGGAATTTCTTATTCAGAGTTGTAAAATCCACTATACAAAAAAAATACTACCATACCTTACTCATACCATACCCAGAAATGACTCTCTACATCTCATTCTGGCCTCAATGCCTGACTAGGCTTAATGCATCAGACACTTGGTCCAGGCAAACAAACGAGTAATTAATTGTTGAACTTGGAGGCCAGGATGTCCTTAATTTCTGACACAAAAGATTGAAGATGTAGGAAAGACGGGAACATTCTTCCTGGTTATACTGATCTGGATGCATTAGAATGTTATAATAGAAGGCAGCAATGAACTGATTGAAAAATCCAAAACAGAAGAGTTGATTGAACAGCCCAAAATATCCTTCGTTAAGGACAGAAAATGGTTATCAATAGGGGAGAAGAGGTTCATCACCTCAGGACACTAGCAAAAAGCTGAGATCCCACAGAGTGGGCTATAACTATATATTCATTTATTTGAAAGAATAATACCCAAGAAGAAATGGTTTGGTATAGTGTTCATGAGTGCAACATATCCATTTTCAGCTTTGAATTATATAGGTCAGGTTAAAAAAAAAAAAAAAGACATCCATCTAGTTCAACCAACAGAAAAAAAAAAACTGTAAAAAAGAAAATAGAAAAACCACCAGTGTTTTGGTAGTCATATTTCTTGGCAGTAGCACCACACCAACAGGAACTTGTGTTCTGTTATTTGTGTTTTGTTATTTGTGTTATGGTGCTGAACAATATTGGTAAATTAGAAATTATTTTTACTTATTTTTTTGTGAAGAAATTGTAAACCAACCTTTTATCTGTAGTGATCTGTAGTGCGCCCCCTCGCAAATTACACAAGCAGCACTCCTACAGGAAAGGAAAAAAAAATACAGTCAGACAGACTAGCCACTATGCTCTAAAACTTTCTGGCAATCAAAAACTAAAAAAAAATATTCTATGTCATCATTTGGATTAATCTGTGGAAAGCACATCTAAAAAATATATTTGAATTAACCCCTGCTGCAACTTCCTTTACAGTAGCTATTTGCACTCTACATGACTTCCCAAGATGAACTACATGACTGATTCTACTGTTGTTGACATCATTGTGCTGGTTCCTCCAAGTTGATAAGTGGGTGGTTTTTTGTGCTGTTACCTGCCGTCACCAAATGCATCAGCAGGTAAAAGCACAGAAAACTGCCTATTGATAAACTTGTGGACAGAAGTGTGCGCAGTTGGATCACCAGTAAAATAAGGCATGGGTTTTGTAGCTAGAGCAGAGCAGTGCACATGCCCACAATGTATGTTCCCTGTTCTTACTCATATTATTTTAAATACTTTTCTAATTCTCAATAAAAGGATATTCCTACACTGTGTAGGATTAGGAAGTTTCCTTTAGTCGGTTTGTTTAACAAGTGTCATTTTACTCACACAGCACTCCATGCACAGGCAGTACACCGTGAACAGGTCCAGTTCTCCTTAACCAAATCAGGATGGATTCCATAACAACCTATATAAAAAAAAAAGCGCAACAGGTCTATGAATTGAAAGGTGTTCACCTAAAGTATGATAATATGAGGAACAGAATATACAGTAAGAAACAATTAAGTAAATTTAAGAAACTCACTTGCATGGACTTGTAAAAAGCATTTGGCACACGACAGCAGGGGACTGGTATTATCGTCTCCAATATAAGTGTTGACTGGCAATGGATCCATACTACTCTCACTGGGGGTAAAACACATTTCTGGGACAGCTGGTTTTGTTCTTTGTCCTTGTTTTGAGAAGGCCAAATCAGACAAGTGAGAAACCTCCTGTTGACAGTGATCATATGATTACCGGGATTAAGAGCATCCAAATATAAAATCACAAAAATATGGAGTGTCACACTAATCTAAAACAAAGGAGCTTGTCACATTACCAATAAACAAGGTGTGCCACATTACCTGAGGGAAAGGAGAGAAGAGAGAGCATACTGCACAGTATGGCTCTGTGAGAGCAGCCACTGAATTAAATTTTCTCTCTGCTAAAAAGTTCAAAGGCTTGTTCTTCCACAAATGTGACAAAAGATTTGGTAAGGTTTCAGGATCCCCAGTCTCCTCCTCACCAGAAAAAGGGAGAGAATCTGAGAAACAAGACAGGAGGGTTCAGGTTGATGGCTTTGCAGAAATTACACTTCCTGTAGAACACAACGCTAGGTGATTAGAAGATCTTAAAGCAGAATTCAAGCTCTAAATAATTGCCCTGTTGAAAAAAATAAGCAATTTTGACTTTGACCTGTAAATTCCATATTTGTGAGCATAGTATCAAGCACAGGCTTGATATTCGAAGGGTTATTGGCTGGTACCTTCAGGTGACTGAACACTGGCAAACCCTATAACCCTTTCTCCTTTTCAGTGAGCAATGAAGAGTATGAGAGTTTCACATAGTTGAAGTGTATGTCATATTTATCAATTGTCTATGATTACTGTATGGACTTCCAGTAATCGAAGAAAAATAGCCCAAACAAAGAGGACGGAAAATCCAGATACGCATTTGATTTTTACCAGTGAGCCAAGTTCTACAATAAACCTCTTAAGAGCCAACCTCTGTGGTGACTTACTTCTGCCACTGGCTGTGGCTCTAAACCTGTTCTAGACCAAGATGTTGATGGGAAGCTTGGTTTCCTCTGGTGACCATGTTCTTTGAACTGTGAGAGATTGAACACTTTCCCCAGCCTAAAAAGCTGGCATTATCACCTTCCATTGATATAGAAGAAAGGACATCCCTATTATCAAGGCTGGGTTGGAAACCCACCAGGCAAGGGAGCTTTTCTTGCTTAGCTGGGTAGAAGCATACAGAGATTTTGTAATAGTTAATGGACTGTCCAAAATGGTGCACTCAGTTTTATTTTTCTGGCCGCCTTGCATTCAAACAATTTCTACACAGCAAGCGTGCCAGATATGGGATCAAGATGTACAAGACCTGTGAGAGGGCAACAGGCTAGACATATAAGTAAGGATTTACAAGGGAAAATATAGTCACGTGGAGCCCCCCGGATGCCCACACTACATGGGGAGCAGTGGAAAGATAGTTTGGGACTTGGTATCATCCTTTTTTTATGGGGTACCACTTATACGTGGACAATTTTTATTCAAGCGTGCCACTATTTAGACATTTGTACAATCTTGGAATTGGCGCATGTGGCACCATACACATTGGGGGCTTCCCCCGTCTTAGATAGGGGGAAAAAGCCTGCTTGAGAAATGAAGAACTGCTCACAGTGAAGTGGAAGGACAAACAGGACACAACCATCCAAAATGCCACGGCAGAAGCCCCTCTGTGTCCATGACTATAACCTTAACATGGGAGGGGTGGACTTCAACGCCCAGTTGATGAAGTCGTACTTAGGTTTACCGAAAAGCTAGACATTGGTACAAAAAATTGTCTGTTTATTTATTTCAATTGGCTCTATATAGCGCTTTTGTGCTTTACAAAGCAACTGGACGTAGTGGATCCTTCCTAAAATTCCAGGAAGAGATCATCGTTATGATCCAGAAGTTGCTGTGGGCCAAAACCCCAACCCAGATGCAGTTAGCTGGCTGCATGAGAGGCATTTCCCCAACACCATTTCTGGTACCCCAACCCGAAGGACACCACAAAAAAGATGTCATGTCTGTAGCAGACATGAAATTAGGCGTGACACCCGGTTTTTTTTTTGTCCCTCCTGTCCTAGCCAACCTGATCTCTGCCTCAAGGACTGCTTCCGGCGCTATCACACATTAGTGGAGTATTAGTATAGGGTACAAAACGGCACAGTTCAGGGCACATATTTGCACAGGGTCTCGAAAGATAGTTAAAATAAATAAATAAAATTTACAAGTCCAAAAAAAAAAATTTTAAAAACCAAAAATATTGTGTTTTTGTTGTTACTGTTCTACTGCTACAATTTTACTGTTTTATTGTTAACCATTGCTGTTTTCTTTGCAGGAATGCCATTCAGCTGCAGCACTGACCTATTTATTCTGCCAGCAACAGGGGGGTCTTGCTCTCAAAATATACATAAGTATGTGTGTGCAGCACTGTTGGATGAGATTTTTCATCAGTAGTTAAAAAAAAAAGAGCATATATGCCGAAGCATGGGGTGGCCAGTGGGTGGATGGCCCCTATGCTTCAGTATATATTTAAAAATAAAAATTTTGGCAGAGATTTCTTCATCCACATCGACCGATCCGAATAGAGAAATCTGTTAGGACTTTTTTTTTTTCGTTCAGCCCACAGGCTGAAAGACAAAAAAAGATCATTTCATGTGTGTGAGAAGTGGGTGGATGCAGGGTGGTATATTCTAATGGTGGGCATACCACACCGAGTTGAAAAAAAGAGAAGAAATCTCTGCCAGAAAAAGTTATCTGGCAAATATTTCTTCTCTTTTTTTCATTCAGCCCAAAGGCTGCATAAAAAAACAAAACAAAAAAAAAAACAAAACAACAAACACATATAACCACTCAAAGTCCAGTTATGTACCAGGGTGCTATTACCAGGATGATGCCTGCAGCTGTAGGCATCATCCTGGTATTGTTTTTTTCAGTGGCTAATTAGCTGCAGGATTGCTTTTACAAGCAGTGGGAAAAGATGCCACCCCCCTCCCTTCCACGGCCTTCTTGGGATGTCCCGTGCCATTGGGGGAACCTGAGAATGCAGCCGGTGTTTCTGCCAGCTGACCAGAGAGCTGATTGGAGACCAGAATGGTGCCAAGAAATCGGAAGCTACGAGCATTTCATCACTTCCTTTTTACAGGATATAAACACCGCCATTTGTAAATTGGGAAAGGATCGGATCAAACCAATCTTGGTGAGATTAGATAATGTAAGGACAGAGGAGATATCTAGAGTCTGATAGACCCCAGATTTCTCAAAAGAGAATATACAGGTGAAACTCAAAAAATTTGAATATCGTGCAAAGGTTCATTTATTTCAGTAATGCAACTTAAAAGGTGAAACTAATATATGAGATAGACTCATTACATGCAAAGCAAGATAGTTCAAGCCGTGATTTGTCGTAATTGTGATGATTATGGCTTACAGCTCATGAAAACCCCAAATCCACAATCTCAGAAAATTTGAATATTGTGAAAAGGTGCAATATTCTAGGCTCAAAGTGTCCCACTCTAGTCAGCTAATTAAGCCATAACACCTGCAAGGGGTTCCTGAGCCTTTAAATGGTCTCTCAGTCTGGTTCAGTAGGAATCACAATCATGGGAAAGACTGCTGACCTGACAGTTGTGCAGAAAACCATCATTGACGCCCTCCATAAGGAGGGAAAGCCTCAAAAGGTAATTGCAAAAGAAGTTGGATGTTCCCAAAGTGCTGTATCAAAGCACATTAATAGAAAGTTATGTGGAAGGGAAAAGTGTGGAAGAAAAAGATGCACAAGCAGCAGGGATGACAGCAGCCTGGAGAGGATTGTCAGGATAAGGCCATTCAGAAGTGTTGGGGACTTTCACAAGGAGTGGACTAAGGCTGGTCTGTTGCTCAGTGATCCAAAGTACTCTTTTCTGATGAGAGCAACTTTTGCATCTCATTTGGAAACAAAGGACCCAGAGTATGGAGGAAGAATGAAGAGGCACTCACTGCAAGATGCTTGAAGTCCAGTGTGACGTTTCCACAGTCTGTGTTGATTTGGGGAGCCATGTCATGTGCTGGTGTTGGTCCACTGTGCTTCATTAAGTCCAGGGTCAACGCAGCCGTCTACCAGGAGATTTTGGAGCACTTCATGCTTCCTTCCACAAATGAGCTTTATGGGGATGCTGACTTCATTTTCCAGCAGGACTTGGCACCTGCCCACACTGCCAAAAGCACCAAAACCTGGTTCAGTGACCGTGGGATTACTGTGCTTGATTGGCCAGCAAACTCGTCTAACCTGAACCTCATAGAGAATCTATGGGGCATTGCCAAGAGAAAGATGAGAGACATGAGACCGAACAATGCAGAAGAGCTGAAGGCTGCTATTGAAGCATCCTGGTCTTCTGTAACACCTCAGCAGTGCCACAGGCTGATAGCTTCCATGCCATGCCGCATTGAGGCAGTAATTGCTGCAAAAGGGGCCCAAACCAAGTAGTGAGTACATATGCATGCTTATACTTTTCAGAGGTCCGATATTGTTCTATGTACAATCCTTGTTTTATTGACTGCATGTAATATTCTAATTTTCTGAGATTGTGGATTTGGGTTTTTTTTATGAGCTGTAAGCCATAATCATCACAATTATGAGAAATCACGGCTTGAACTATCTTGCTTTGCATGTAATGAGTCTATCTCATATATTAGTTTCACCTTTTAAGTTGCATTACTGAAACAACTGAACTTTTGCATGATGTTCTAATTTTTTGCGTTTTACCCGTATGACAATGCCCATTGAAGTTATAGGGGATATTTGCATTCAATGTGATAGCATTAAAAGTGATTAAAAAAATGAAAGGGACAGTGTAAAAATGTGAAAAAGAAAAAAAAAAGAAAAAAAGGACCCTGGCCGCCCTCACCCCCGTAAACAGCGGTTGCACCATGCTTGTGAAGTATCACCGTGAACGTCAGATCAAGGGCAGTAATTCTAGCACTAGACCTCCTCTGTAAATCTAAAATGGTAGCTTGTAAAGGGTTTTAAAGCATTGCCTATGGATAGTAAAAATGTATGCAGTTTGTCGCCATTGCATGGAGCATGCGCACTTTTAAAGCATGTCATATTTGGTTATCTATTTACTCGACATACCATCACCTTTAATAACTTATCAAATAATTGGCCAATATATTGTGTTTTTTTGCATTTAAAGTAAAAGAAAAGTGTATTTTCTTTGAAAAAATTTGCATCTGAGAAATCATTGCACGAGTACTATGTGACAAAAGAAATTGTAGCACCCACCATTTTATTCACTAGGGTGTCTGCTTTAAAAAAATATATAATGCTTGGGGGTTCAAAGTAATTTCCTAGCAAAAAATACAGATTTTTTTTCATGTAAACAAAAAGTGTCAGAAAAGGCTTGGTCTTCAGGTGGTTAGAAAAGTGAGTGATGTGTGGCATAAACTTCTAATGCTGGGCATAAAATGCCCCCACCCCACAAAACGACCCCTTTTTGGAAAGTAGACACCCCAA